CACCTTATATATCCTTTATTTTGAAAGCAAAATAAAGCTTCATAAAGCAATTTGTCCAATTTTATAGAAATTGATATAGTAATCGTATAAAATGTAACTTTTCTATTTGGGGAACAAAATATAGTGTTAGCAATTTTTTAAAGTGTGGCAACCTCATGACAAATCTAGACAGATGGGAATAAATTTTCCAAAGAAATTAAAATAAGAAAATAAAATAAATAAAAGTGGTATTTGTATAGAATTATGGTATCTTTAATAAGATGGTTCAAATATTGGGAGGGAAGATCTGTTGAGAGACAGGTTTAATATATTCAGTTCAAAAAAAGATAAAAGAAAAATACCCTCAAGTTGAACTCAGTTTCTGTTCACTTCATCCATGAAGTTCTTTTACCATCATTATGGAAGTGGTATGCCATTGGTTTCTTTCATTTTTTTAATGACTTCCCAGTGTAGTTAACTGCTGTGAGATTCTCAGGCAGGATTAGCCTAGCACTAATTACTTAATTTCTGAGATATGCAGCTAATGTGTAGCTGCTAGTTAACGGACCTTAGAAAGGATGCAACTATTCAAGATATGTGACTGGTAACAATGAACTACATATAGCAAACATCTTTCAGTGTGAAGACTTTTCTACCCCTTTGAAGGCAGACTTATCAGTGAACAAATTAAGTTTCCCTTTATCACCGTAATGAATGGCATGATACCACCTTTGCAACACTTGGAGTTCAAGAGATCAAGTTCAAGACCAGGAGCACAGCACAGCACAGCACAGCACAGCAACACAAAGTCAGAATATGACAAGTTCAAGCCTGCCTACCGTGCCTGAGGAATCCAGGATTAGCCAAGTATTACACACACACACACACACACACACATGTATTTATTATACTATGCTCTGCCCCATATAAATGCATTTATTATGGTCTTAATCAAATCCCAACTTAAAATCAGAGTATGAATATTAATAATACTACCTGGATTTTGCCTGTGATGCAGAAATGCCGTTCATCCACACATGCTCAAATGTGACCTGAGAAATTGAATTTGAAGGAATCTACAAATTTGCAGAGAAGGCTGCCTACAATACATGACAGACGTTTGCCAACTTAATTATCTAAGCATGGTTGGAATATTTAGGTGAGAGATCACCAGTCTCTCACAATCTATCCCAGATCTATTGGATAGCCTGGAAAATAGAAAAATTGGAAACAGCAATGGCAAACCATCATTTTCCCTATCAAAATGATTATACACACCTTAAATCTATATTGTATTGTTGCTAATAAAGCCACATGGGCTTGCCAATGAAGCCATTAGCAGTCACATGCAAATTGATTTACATACCTTTCAAGTTTCAAGAGGGCTAGAATCATATTAAGATTCAATCAATTTTGGGTATATTCAAGTTTAAACTGCCCAAAGAAAAGTGTAGTCTTCTTCATTCTGGATAGAAGAAAAATGATGAAGATATCTTGATGTTTATTGTACAAAACTTGGTTTATAAGTAAAGTCTTATAAACGTAATATCTTATAGTCTCAAAATCTTCTCTTTGGAGATTAAAAAATATCAGGGTTGATATTCTATGAAAAGCCTTGACCAATGTCAATCTCTTATCATATATATGGATAACAAATATGGTTGTTTGAATATATGTAACAGGACATTTAAATTATCTGATGTTTTACAATGAAATTAAATAGGGCTATTTTAATTCTTTATACAACTTGGATTTTATTTTACATACTGTAAAAAAACAAAACTGCTTAATGAATTCTCTTTTCTGAACCCTTTAATGATTATCTAGGGCAGAGATGTAAGATCCATGTTACTGAACTATGCTTTTCAATATTGCTCACCGTTACTAGTGTTGGTTGGGTGCCATAAGTTAAGCAGAGTAAAGCTTTTCAAACCTTAGGGTTCCATAAGAACTTCCTGGGTTCCATGACAGAATATGGAAGAAGGAAAAAGAAAAGAGAAGAAAGGAAAAATTCACTTGAAAGCAGTCAATGTTCCATCACTAGCGTTTTACCTCTCGAGCAAGGCTTCTGATAATAATAGCATTATTATATGAAACAACATTTTCCTATCCCAAGTCCTTGGGAAGGACTCGCGAAGTGGATGAAAATGCCACATCTAGTCTAAACATGTGGTTGACTGTGCAACCAATCATAATATCAGCAAATAGAAAATAGAATGACTGTAGCAAAAAACAGCAAAGATAGTGCCAATAGTAATAAATGGCCTCGATTCAATGCCAAAATGTCTGGAGCACCATTTGAATTCTGACATTGACCAAATCGCCATCAGTCAATTACAAAAGGCAGTTTTACTTGGAAACTTACATCCTTGCATCCTATGACAATACTTTTTAAAATCATCAAACAAAATCTGTCTATTTCAGGTGGATAAAAATGTCAAATTCAGCTTAAACATCTGATGATTATGCAATGGACCATAACAATTATTATTTCTAATAGCCTCCAAGGCCTGAAAAAACT